ATGTACTCCTTATATTTTCAATATTGGAGTACTGGAAAACCTTAAGTGTACATTTAGAGTACTGAATGGAATTTAATGGAGTATCAGTAAGCTTGTGTTTCGTTTCATATATGCACCACAACATTGCTACTCTTGTGTAAACAGGTAAAAAACCAAAAAACAATATCATTTCAGATAAATACGTCTGTAAATAATTCTAAGACCGTACACCATTTCTGCGGTGCGTATCTGCTAAGTTTTCTAAATTATTTCCTACTGTATTGTGCATATTTTATATCTGTATATACGCAGATATGACCCTTATGTGGAGCCCTGCCTGTCTCTGTGTTCCTGTGTCAGTTCATGTCTCCTGGATGTGGATCTTATAAACACTGTGCTCCATTAAATGTTTACAAAGCACCTGTTGGATTGAGACATTACTGCATGTCTGATGTTTCTTTTCTTTTGTTTTTCCAGAAGAGAGTCGAATGGCATTTTCACCGAAGGAAGCACCTGTCTATGTGAGTATATTCCTTCATGAGAAGTGGGGCTGTAGTTTAGTGGTAAAAGAATTCATCACACTGAAGGCTGTTCCTGATATAATGAACAGACCCGTGAAGATCCAGGTTAGAATTGATCTTCCGTGACCCATGCTTGTCATAAGAGGCGACTAACGGGATCGGGTGGTCAGGTTCGCTGACTTGGTTGACACATGTCATTGTGTCCCACTTGCGTAGATCAGTGCTCATGCTGTTGATCACTGGATTGACTGGTCCAGACTATATTATTTACAGACCGCTTCTATTTTGCTGGAATACTGCTGAGTGTGTGTTAAACAGAAAAAGCTGCATAAAACAATACTCACTCACAATCATCGACTTCATGAACCTTTTGTTGTGAAGTGAGGTGAGGTGAGGTGAAATTGGGTTTAACATCGTGCTTGAGAATATTTCGCTCATATGACGACGTGCATGCGTTTGTATGTGTATGTGCGGCTGCTTGTACTAGCCCAGACTGAAGCTGGTTTTATAGTGCTAGCCCACTGAGATACCATGCCGCAGTGAAGTATGAATACCCCACTCAGACACATTATACTGACTCCGAGCCGACCAGTCCTTGTTGTAGCCATTAATGCCAAGCGCCAGGCAGGGACCAACAAGTACCATATTTTAACGTCTTTTGGTATGACGCGGTCGGGGATGAAACCCCGACCTTCCGCGCTTGTGAAGTGAGGTTGGTGGTGCAGCCTAGTGATTACAGGGCTGGTTCTCCACGTGAAAGTTCTTGGTTTTATTCTCTCATTGAGTAAAACCAAATATGACTGGAATCATGCTGAAATGAAACAGAGAACACTTTCAACTATTTTTCTGAAACAGGATTTCAGGTTGAAAGTGGAAAATACAATGTCTTGAAGGGGAAAGACATAATATCGAATTAGGTTTATACTGCGGTATTAAAAGATATTGATTTTCTTTAAGGACAGCAGTTTGAAATTTGTTATGAACAAAATTGCACAAATTATTTTGAAATCATATCCATGTGTTTATAAGTGAACGTGATATTGGATATGATTGAAATTTATGTTGTATGTAGATCCAGTCTGTTACAAAATGATACACACACAATTTATGTAATTTGGTTAATGGTTGACGTTTTTATTGTTTATAACTCTTTGGTTTATCTCTATCAGTGTTTTCAATAGTAAAAGCAATTTTAGCTTTAGTTCAACCTTGATAAGCAGCCATTTCACCAATAGCTCCAGTAGCCTCCGTAAATGTGACAGCCAGACTCAATGTGTCTTGAAGGTGGTCAATAGTTTCGGAGATCAACAAACAAAAAAATGAAGGAAAAACAGTAAAGGATAGTGTGTGTAGGTTGAATCCACATGTGGTAGGTGGACGTGGAGATAGTCAGTCTTCCCGAAGGGCCAATCACTCATGGTTTAGCATCCCCTGGCAAAGGTCAGCCATTGCTTCCCCAGATTGTGTAGGTTTGTCTCCTATTTCCTGTCTGACTGGGAATGTCGTCAGCCAATCACAAGCTCTCCTGGGGACCAGTTTTAGAGACGGTAGCGGAAATCTTTGGAACTCATTTTGGTAATGTTTGATGGTGTTGTCAATATTAGGCAGGGCCTGCCTGTCCAGCTAATGGAACATCCAGTGTAGGTTGGCATTGCCTTGTTGAGACAAAGTGAGGATCTATTGGTCACCTGCGACTTACAGCACTCTTTTTTTAAGTTGATTATCTGCAGATGTGGATCACCTGACCAGAGGTCAAGCTGGCTTGTGTCATGCCGTTTTTTGTTCGTCCAGTGTCATGTACTTTTAGATTTATTTAGAATTCTCTTCAGTATTCTTTGTGTTTATTGAGGTAAAAAATTAAACCTGATTTGCAAATTGCGTAAATATAGAGATTTGCACAACACCCAGTCCTTTTATTATCAACCTGTTAGATAACAGTAGTGTGGGTTGTTCTTCTTTTTGTTGGGGTGGGGGAGTAAGAGCATGTGGGGGCAGAGTTATAAATAAAAGAAATTGATTGGTTAGTTGATCAACTGCATTGGGCTGACTTGAAATTTACTTTTCAAATTTCATTTGATATTTTTTAAAATTTGATTTAATATTTACACATTCTCCATATCCAAACTTTTAGTCTGTTTTATTAACCTTTGGCGCCTTCCCATAATAATGAATATAGCTTATTCTTAGGAATCCCCTTCCTCCCCTTGAAACATTGCTGGGATAAAACCAAGTTATCTCACTATTCATGGTTCTTCTCCTTGCAGACCGCCTCCGTGGTGTAGTGGTTAGAGCGTCCGCCCGGAGAGCGGAAGGTCGCGGGTTTGATCCCCGACCGCGTCATACCAAAAGACGTTAAAATATGGTACTTGTTGGTCCCTGCCTGGCGTTCGGCATTAATGGGTACAACAAGGACTGGTCGGCTCGGAGTCAGTATAATGTGTCTGAGTGGGGTATTCATGCTTCACTGCGGCATGGTATCTCAGTGGGCTAGCACTATAAAAAACAGCTTAAGTCTGGGCTAGTACAAGCAGCCGCACATACACATACAAACGCATGCACGTTGTCATATGAGCGAAATATTCTCAAGCACGACGTAAAACCCAATTTCACCTCACCTCACCTCTTCCCCTTGCAACATTACTAGGATAAAACCAAGTTCACTCACTATTCATGATTGAATAACTCTGTATGTATTATTGTGAAAATTTGTATTGTAACATAGGATGTGACTTTATGTTAGTCAAGTAATAAATTAGCAGACAGCAGGTGAGCTTCAGAACCTTCTATTTTTCAATGCCTCATAGTTTATGTTGTCTGTATTGACCAACCATCTTATCAGAACTGTTGTCAGTGTCATGGACGTCACAAGTAGAGAACAACTATGTCTGACTGCCTAGGCCTCATTATTGAGGGTTTAGATAGGGCTGTGATGGTACAACAATGTTAGTCCAGCTGATTGTCTGCCCCCACCCCGTGTTTGCCAATTAGAAGCAAGCTCTGACTCATTCTTGTTAGAACCTGAACCTTACTTGAGTTGTCTCCCTTGTTCTTCATTGCTGGACTAGGATGTTTTAGCTTTTGAAAATAGAGAGTAATGAAAATTGTAAATAAATTCAACATATTGCATTATTCATGTTCTTTTTATTTGTGTAAATGTCCATGTTGTCAGGGAAACTGATCCCATAAAAATGATAGTGTTGCAAAATTTGCAATGTAAATTTACAGATGTGAGTGAGTGAGTGAGTGAGTGGGTATGGTTTTATGACACGTTTGGCAATATTCATAACTGTATGGTTGAGAATACCAGAAATTGGCTTCACAAATTGTACCCTTTTGGAGTATTGGAGAGTGAATGCTTTAACCACCTGGCAAGTCAGCCAGCTCCTTCAGCAGAGATGATGATAAACAAAGGTTTCAACTGGCTGTAAGGTTGATTGTAATACACAAGGGTCTTGTTTAATTATTTTGACAGGATAGCTGTGAAAAGATGACTAAATAATTAATTATTATAAATCAAATATGTGCTATATGAGATATGTGTTATATGTTAGATAAGAATTGTCACCATAAATGTCATATACAATGCTTTTGGTGTGAGTCTTTGTATTGTGCATGGAACCAGCTGTGACCTTTCCAGCGTCCCGATTCCTGTGGCATCTACAGAACTATCATTGGTTGTTAGACACCTAATAAGAGGAATGTGTTGATTGCCGCCTTTTGTTTGGTATGAAGCATTGTGGGAGTTACTCCCATCATGCCTCGTTACTGCAATCAAACACTGCCGTCTTAATGGAAAGCAAGCATTACAATGGGTTAGGGCCCAATTTGCAGGATTGGAATTGGCTTTTAAAGTAATGGCTGTTTGTGAATTGCACTTTTTTACAGTTGGGTTTAAGGAAATGAATGTTTTCTAACAAAAATTATATTGTTTTCAAGGTCTGTTTTATCAAAACGGTGTTTCTTTCAAAGATAGTATTCTGACTTTGTTATGAAAAGAAGGATTACTGTCAAAAATGGTAGTAAATACTATTGGCTTTTTAATCTGTTGAAATTGAACATAATTTGTTTGTTTGTTTCTCAAGGGAGGTGGCACCATTGTTGTGGCTTTGACAGAAGATACTAGTTTCCCAGAAGATGCACAACTATTTCTGGTTTTCGAGGGTGCCAACCGCCGTCATGTGGCCACAACCAGCAAAGTCAGCACCAATACACTGCACTCCTTCATTCCAGGTGAGGCTTATTATTCTTCATCTTACATAAACCCACGAGGATCTGGGTTAGACTTGATCTTCAGTAACCCATGCTTGTCATAAGAGGTGACTAGCGGGATCGGGTGGTCAGACTTGCTGACGTGGTTGACACATGTCATCATATCCCAATCGCGTAGACCGATGCTCATGCTGTTGATCACTGGATTGTCTGGTACAGACTCAATCATTTACATACTGCCGTCATATAGCTGGAATAGTGCTGAGTCCGCGTAAAACTAAACTCACTCACTCACTTCTACGTCAGTGAAGATGTACTATAGAGGACAAAATGTTTTTGTTTTGTTTGTAGTTTGTTTGACTCAGCAATTTTACATCTATATTATGGTGATCTGTACATAAATGTGAAGCATACAGTTCAGTGATTGACGTCATGAGCATCAAACTACATCTATCAATCATAGAGTCTGATCAACCAATCCAGTTAGTCATCTCTTATAACAAGCATGGGTTGCTGAAGACCAATTCTGACCTGTGTTTTCATGGTTCAGAACATAACTGCTTCCCCAGTACATTCAAATCTCATGCATCTGAGGTCGCAGTGGAATGTGCTTGGACTGGCTAATGGGGATTGGGAGGATTCTGGTGTGTGTCTTCCAGTTTAGATTTGGTCTTCAGGAACTGATGGAAGAGGCCATGAAGGAGGGTGCTCAGACTTTGGTTTATGCATATCCCAGTTGACTAGATGCTCATGACGTCAATCACAGGATGACCGGTCTATACTTGATATTGTATCTACCACCATCATATTACAGGCATGTTAATAATTGGGGAGTTAAATATTACTGACAAACAATGTGTCTGTATGACCAGACGGCCTTGATTGCATATTGTACGTCCTGTCAAACACTGGTTTCCTATCCAAGACATGATTATATACAAGCTTATGTGTTATAATTGGACAATTGCTGACAGCAGCGTGCTTGTAGCCATTCATCTCTATGGATGCTTGATATGACACTATGACTGCACTATGGACCAGAAGGAGGATGTGATCCAATGCCATTGTCAATATACAGTACTCCAGAAGGTTATGCCGGTGCAAGGGCATCTTATTCATTACTGAACAAAGAGTGCACTTTCGATTAACATTTAAGTCTCATCTAAGCCCCATTTAAGCCCCATTTAAGTAAAGATGTTGTGGTATTTTAGGAAAGGTCAAGGTCGCAATAGCTTCTTTCAAGTGAAAAGGGTGCTTGATAAAATTCATTACATTTGTATGATCAAATGGAAATGTTCCATCAGCAATTTCCTCATTAATGACAATCATATGTTATGGTCAGTCAGCAATCTTTACAAAATAATTAAAAACAATTTTACCAAAGAAACAGATTTCAGATTGTGTGTTATTGTACCCAGAAGGCATGGATTGTTGCTCATTCTATTAACCACTGGCTACAGTGATCAGACGGAAGGTTACAGATACATTCAGTCATCCCCTGTATTGTAAAGCAAGTATTGTTGAGAAATCTGTTAGCCTTTGTAAAAGGCTTTAAGAAGTGTTAAGGTAGACATGTGGATGTCATTTCCAAATTTAGCACATTAGTTTTAAGAAATGTTGTTTTATGCAATTCTTATTAATTTGTTCCCATTTTAATTGACTTGTCTTTGCATGTGTTTGTTATGGATGCCACAGGTGGGGCAGGATGTACTGATTTCATTTGGAAAACATTGGTAACTTCACTATTAGTTATTACACATGCTTATAGACTGTTTGCAGTGAAAGCGTGCCGATGTATTTCACTTTTAACAAAAAAGTAAATCGAATAAAGTGAAATTAAGATTGCTAATCCTCATAATTTTACCTTGCCAATTGAACATTTAAATCTCAGAATTTTATTCAACTTAGGATAAAAGTTGTTTAACAAACGATCATAGTTTCAGATCGCTAATGTTGTTTTGTATTACAAGTGGGTATGCACATTAAATGAAACACGGAGAAGAAGTAGGGTTGGTCTAATTTAACGCTCATCACGTACTGCTCATGCATTTGTACAACTGTTCGAATTACTGCGTTTACTCCCTTGTAATACAAACCAATAATAGCGATTTGAATCTATGATCGTCTGAAAAACAACTTTTATCCTAAGTTGAATAAAATTCTGAGATTTAAATGTTCAATTGGCAAGGTAAAATTATGAGGATCCGCAATCTTAATTTCACTTTATTTGATTTACTTTTTTGTTTAAGGTGAAATTCATCGGTATGTTTTCACTGCAAACAGACTATAGGATGTAGTCAAATTATCCAATGGAATCTGCTTTTAGCGAAATGTTTTGAGTATGGCAACAGGTCTTTGTTTGGTAGATGGATGTGATAGAATGTACATGAGTCAGCTGTCGTGACAGTTTGTTGTACCAGTAGGGATCCATATACACCAACCACTGGACGATCTTCTTTTGCCGACCCGTGAAGATCCGGGGTAGAATAGGTCTTCAGCAGCCCATTCTTGTCATAAAAGGCGACTATGCTTGTCGTAAAAGGCGACTAACGGGATCGGGTGGTCAGGCTCGCTGACTTGGTTGACACATGTCATCGGTTCCCAATTGCCAGGTCGATGCTCATGCAGTTTATCACTAGATTGTCTGGTCCAGACTCGATTATTTACAGACCGCCGCCATATAGCTGGAATATTGCTGAGTGCGGCGTAAAACTAAACTCACTCACTCACTCTTCTTTTGCCTACATCCAAGCTTTTTGAAGGTGATTTACTTGACATTTATAGAAGATGTTTTTGGAAATGGATATGTGTTATCTGCTTATTCATGAAACACTTTTCTCTTAAACTTGTCCCAGTGTTGATATTGTGTCAATATTGATGTTGATAGTCTTGAACCCAGATCTCTCATTTCCAGGCTCACATGAGTGGAGCTTCCTGACATTTGAGTTTTTGAAAAATCTACCGTTACACAAAGAACAAAAAATGTGAATCCAAAGAAACAGTTCTCATAAACCTCCCACAATATTGATGCTTTCCGTGTTGTTTAGAGTTCCACCACATTATAAAGCCATGTGACAGCTGATTTTGTTCCCGATTGATGAACTCTTGCGAAATAAATGCATTTAAGTGGTTAGGATCCATTTCATTGATCATTACATTTCCGGTTACTTCTTTCAGGTGATCTATTAGCAGCCATAACCGTTATAACCAAACAGAGTTGAAGTACTTAAAAGGCCAACAACAGAAATAGTCTGTGTCCTGTCCTACGATGTGTGTAAACACATACCCTAAACAACTGACACATCCACGTCGCCTTCACGTGGGTGGGTGTGGGCAAGTTGACTATTGTGTTGGATGTACACTTTGGAATGCAAACTGTACTATGAGAGATGTGTGTAATAGGACATGGTCTGAAGTACAGAGAGTAATGGGTATCGGTCAGGCAAAAGATGTTTTTGTAACCGATACCGTCCCATTATCTTTGAGACCAGTGTTTTTAGCAAATCTTCAACCAGACATCATGACAACATTAATTTTGATGTCTTGAGGCTAAAATGGGTGAAACATATGAATTTTTAACTTCCAGAGAATATCTAATGTGACAAGGTGATAATTTTACCATTTTTTTCTGTCTTCATCAATGTCTACGTCTTCTGAAGATAAATGTATAAATTCAAATGTTAGAAATCAGCCTGGTTGATTCCTTAAAATCAGCCTTTTGGTCTATTTAGGCTTTCCTGTATTGTTAGAAGCACAATAAGGCTTGTTAACAAAATCTAATTCTTATCATCAAACTATGCTGGGCACCTTCTTTATTGTATGACATCTGTAATTGTACTTCTACACAAGCACAGCGGGTTAACCATTTGCCACACAATAGCAAATCAAGCAACCGATCAGAAATCTTGGACCTGGGTAAGAATAATTTATTATTACCAATGCTTGTTGGCACCCACTCATGATGATCAGGAAGTTAACGTTTGTGGATTGTCTGATTGGATCCCTGACTCACTGAATTGTTGCTCATGGTGTCGGTCACTGGTTTGCAGAGTCCGAACAGTCATTGGTGTGGTTGTAGAATGACTGGAATATAGCTATCTGCATTATAAACCAGCATTTGTCCACTCCAGAAAACTCATGAAAAGTGTAATTATAATAGTCTACATACCAACACCTTAACTGGCTGCCCGAATCCCACGTATTTGTTGTTTCATCACGTGACTTTGATCTGTACAACGGAGAGTAACAGAGGCCTACTTTCAACGCACTGGGTAAATATTCATCTGGACTGCGGTAGCTCTCATGCAGGTGTCATAATGACCAGTGGTTATTTTAGCATGAAAGGGATAGATCTGGAGAGCTGGACAATGGACGTGGTTGCCCCATTGTTTCCTGAGTAGACAGTAGCATTCCGGGGCAAGACAATCAAACATTCCTGCAGACCTGTCTGTGTGGGGAGGAGACGATGGACAATTGCTGATACTCCATAGCGCAGTGCCGCTCACACTGATGTAAGCCGGATAGAGGAAGAAATTATTTATCAACTTGTCAGATATTGTGTTTTATCTCATCATTGGTGATGAAACCGGTATAGACGAGTATATAAGGCTATGGCTAAGAGACGCAAAGCATGTATACAACCAACATGGTTATAAACAATATTTGATCATGTCGTCTTACTGTATTATATCTGTGGAATCTGTTTTTGGTGCTGATTGAGGCATGTATTTACATTCAGTTAAACACAATCATGTTCCGATTATGATACTCAGCATGGTTCTGAGTGATATTTATAGTTGCGGGCATATTTTTAAATTTTGATTCATAAAATATTTTTGATATTCATCATTTAAATGTAAGTTTTACAGTTATAGTACAAGCTGTGGAAACACTCTTTCTTGACAACAGCATCAGAATCTATACCGAAACGTCGCATCATATATAATAAAGAACTTGTCATCCATAAAGTACATTATTTTCTTACAAGCTGTAGAAGCAACACACAGATATATATAGTTGCTTCTAGTGTCCGTGGCGACACACCATTCCATGCTGTTTACCAAAGTCGGAATTCCTGGTGACAGGGTGGTATTAGTTATAACATATTATCTGCTGGGCCTGTTGGGGAGCTGTGACAACAGGGGCTCATTGTGAGACTGAGCAGTGTATTGTTATGTTATCCTGGGACACACCAATTAATCCCTGACCCAGATAGCATTTGCTTGGCACTATAGACATGTCTACCTGTATTAGGTGGTGATTGGGCTGAAACTATCTTGTTGACTTGGATTCTGTGGCTCCATTAGGCTTAAAGGTTTGGTTTGTTGTGTTACACACTGGATGTTTTGAGCTGTTCACCCATTGAAGAAGACATAAAATCAAAGACAAAAATTGTAAAAAGACACGTTTAAGAACATAAGCAAAGAATTTTTATTTATTTTTTGTGTGTGTGGTATCTATTGTAGTCGTGTCTGTAAAATAATTACACAAATGGGACTTGCTTTAAAATGCATGTTCTTCGTCATACTCATTATGTTTCCTTGATTAGGGCGAGTGGGGGGTTGGGGGTTGGGGTAGTCCTCTCAATAAAAAAAGTGTTTGTTGCTCATGCAGAAAGCCCAGGGTTCAATTCCCCAAATGGATGCAGTGTATGGAAGTACCTGGTGATATGGCTGGATTACTTGAAGTTAATAAAATCAGCATTTTACAATCATTGTTTACTTAGTCTTCTACATGTAATTATGTAGAGGGTAAAATGGACAATAAAAGAAAGAAACAGAGACTAGTTCTCAGCACTGTGGACCTCTTTAGACATTTTTATTTCAATATTTCAACATTTTCCTTACCGCTATAATTTGGCTCATCATTTGGCTCCTAAGGAATTTATTTTATCCCTTCCTTTGTAATGTCAAGAGGTTGTTTTAAAAGTGTTTTCTACTACATCAGTTTAATACTGGATCTGTACTTTTTCATACTTCAGGGAACAAAATCTTGTTAATACACAATGTGTAATGAAAGAAAAAAGACACAAAGTTCAGATAAGTAAATCAATGGATTGGATTCCAACTGAATCAATGTTTGCTTTCAAGAAGCCAGTTTGTGGCCGTTACAGGAAGAAGGCCAACATCCAACACTCTCCAAGAACATTTTGAATCGCTTCTGTAAAATGCAAACCAGATTGACCAAATTAGGATTTCGGCTCTGATCGTTGTTGACCCTCGCCGGCTTTACCGAGCTAATTGTTTGTTGTATTGATTGTAAACACACATCTTGTTACCAATCAGCAGAACAAGTTGTACTGGCCGGAGTCTAACCACATTTCTTCGTTCTTGGACGGATGTTATGGTTTAATGTTATCATGACGGTCATCACAAAAATTGGAAGCATGATGAAATTTGGAATTTGGAATATTTTGATACAAAGTTTTGTTTGTTTCAAGATATCAGTTTATGGATATTGAGTCAGTAACTATTTCCTCAGGATTGTGTTGATTTGATGAATAAAAAAAATCATTTCAATGAAGAAATGTAAATTTTGAGGGCAGTTAATCTGGGAGAATTATCCAAACTGAACAAAATACATTTGTTTTGTATAAAATGGGAAATTCAGAAACAATGAATTATTATCATCCTTTAATTTAATAATTATTTCAATGAAGTTCAGTTTGTTGTAATGTTTTAAACAGTTGCTTATCCTGTTCACATTCATGTCTTAACTCAAAATGACCTTGGATAACCTTGAAATGTTATTTTTTTCGTCCTGTTCTCATTCTCCTAACGCTAAAAGATAGTCCACCATGTTGAATCACCTTGATACATGGAGCATTACCTGAACAGATGTTTCATAGTCACAGCTAAACATTCACGGCTGTTTTTGATGTTACGGGT